GCATGCCATTCTTGATTTTGCCCTGAGTGTCTACCACTGTCTCCCAAAGGACATGGGTTTTCCATTTTTTGCTGAGGAGTCAAAGGAACCATCTCATCACCCCTCACTTTCTGTGGCCCTGATAAGCTGGGAAGAACAGTTAGAAGGGGAATGGTCGCAGTTGTCGGCTTCTCTTATGGTTTCCATAGGAGGGACAAGGAAGCCAAGCTGAGGAGTAAGATGAACTGGGAGCCTAGCCACCTCCTTGGAACCCTCTCTGCCTCTTGCATGGCACACAGTGATTCATAAACATCCTCATTTGTCCAGATCAATCCTGGCTTCCATTTGTCCTGGATGGGTTAAAAGCTCCACCTTTGGGGGCCAAAGAAATAGTGTAATAGGGAGGACTCCTACAAGAAGTCCTCACAGGTTCAATCCCCAGCACCACAGATAGTCCCCAGGACCCTACCAGGATTGACCCCTGAGCACAGAGCCTGGAATTAAGCCTTGAGCACTGCCTGGTGTCGACCAAAAACCAATAGGGGGAGAGGGAAAGCTTTATTCTGAAAAGCAGCGAGGTTTGCATGATAAACTTATCATAGTAAAGACCCTCATCTGGAAGGCTGAAGCAGAGCTGGGTGGGAATCCCATGCAAGGAGATTCTGGGGAAACCATGACCCTCACATCACCAAGGAGAGAGAAGGACATCACAGAATGGAACATCTCTGCTTCCAATGTGCCTTCACACTCAGGCTTTCATTTGCAGAACTGCCCTGGGTGGTGCTACGGGCTCTGCTGTTTGGTCCTTGAGATGATGTGACTGGTCAGGGTTGCACCATTCGTGAATGGCAGCACCTGGACAGGAACTCACACTTGGGCTTTTTTCCACATCCTGTGTTCTCATCAGTTCTGTGTCACTGTGGGAACTTGCAGGGCCCGGGCCCCAAGAGGCTTCTTCATGCTCCTATTGTCAACTTCTGGAGAGAAGACAGTGCCACAGCAGGGTAGAGCGGAATGCAGCCCGGCCTCATCAGATGAGACCCCCAGCCCTGATGTAGCCTTTCCTTCATGCACAGAAGTGGACTGCTTTCTGAGGGCCCCATTCAGACCTGGGGTCACTCAACTGGGTCTTAGAGGAAACTCACTCTCTTATTAGTAGCATCTTCCTCTGCCAGCACTAACCTGAAGAAAGGAGTCACCTACACTGAGGGCTTTTCCCCACCTTGGACCATGGAATGCATAGTCCTAAGGGGGGAATAAAGCAGAGGGAGGGAACCCTGCCCCCTAACCCACAATTTCTTCTCTTCATCCCTCACAATGGGCGGCCCTGTTACTTCATCCCAAGGATGGCTTGACACCCTGGCCTTTACATCTGGTGTTAAAAACTGCAGAAAAGAAGGGATTGCCCCCGGAGAAGCTCCCTGGAGACCCGCAGACTCTGTCTGGATAAATATTTGATTTCTTCTCTGCAGCACTTTACGTGCTCCTGGGGATAAATGCGTTTTAACCTCTGGGGGGCAGGGGGAGCCATCTGGACTAAAAATATTTCTCTCCCCATTGTGCTCTCATTTCTTTTCCTATCAGAGAGTTTTTGTGAGTTCTTTTGGAGGGAGGGGACCCACCTCTGCTGGTGCTCAGAGGCTGGCCCTGGCTTTATGGAGGTGGACGGCAGAGGGAAAGGGTCCACTCCTTGCCATGCTCAGGGGAACATGCAGTGTTGGGGATCGAACCTGGGTCTTCTCCATGCACAGCATGTGCTCCAGCAGATTAAACTTTCTTTCCTGCCCTGTGTGAATTCTCTCTGGACATTAAAGTCACAGAGACCCCACCTTCATCCCCAAGGGACATGAAACCCAACTGGCCAGCCCACTGTGGATTTGAAGAAAGACACCAAATCAGTGGCTGGAATCAATTACAAGCATGTGTGGGTTGGAGGGTAGGTGAGAAAGAACTGAGAGTTAAAAGAAAGTAAAGGAATATACATGATAACCTTTCAGTATCTATATTGCACACCACAATGCCCAAAAGGGGGGGAGAGAGAGAGAGAAAGGGAGGGAGGGAGAGAGGGAGGGAAGGAGAGAGGGAGAGAGGAAGGGAAGAATGCAGGGAGGGAGAGAGGGAGAGAGAGAGAAAGACAGAAGGGGGAGGGAGGGAGGGAGAGAGAGAAAGACAGAAGGGGGGAGAGAGGGAGGGAGGGAGGGAAGGAGGGAGGGAGGGAGGGAGAGAGGGAGAGAGAAAGACAGAAGGGGGAGGGAAGGAGGGAGGGAAGAATGCAGGGAGGAAGAGAGAGAGAAAGACAGAAGGAGGGAGGGAGGGAGGGAGGGAGGGAGGGAGGGAGGGAGGGAGGGAGGGAGAGAAGTAAAGCACCTGCTACAGAGGCAGGCTGGTGGGATGGGGGTGATGGGAGGGAACCTGGGGACACTGGTGCTGGGAAATGTACACTGGTGGAGGGATGGGTGTTGGAATGCTGTGTGACTGAAATCCAGTCATGAACAGCTTTGTAAGAGTTTATCTTATTTAAAGCGCCTGTCTTGTATCTTATAGTAATTCAAAAATAAAAATAAAAAACAACAACAAAAAACAGACACCAGAGTTAAATATGTGAGGATTCAAAGAAGAGCAGCCTCCCTTGTGGCACCTCCCAGGTGGCTCCCAACAGGGGGATTAGGCAGTGCCCCAGAAGGACCAGTGTTCCCTGCAGCACCAGAGCATATTCTCTCTGCCTGGAGAACAAGCACCATCTTGCCCAGGGACACTTAGCCATCTGCCGCTCTCAGGGCTTACTTACTCCTGGCTCTGTGTTCAGGAATTACTCCTGGCCTGACTCTGGGGATTACAAGGTGCAGGGAATTGAACCTGAATCCACTATGCGCAAGGCAAAGTGCCTTCCCTCTACGCTGTCACTCTGAGACTCTTTCATTTGGGCTTTGGACCCTCCTTGAGAATTCCCTCCGAACACTTGCCAGACATCTAGCTTGCCTTAAGTGTCCGTTGTGATTCCCCAAGAGGAGAATAAACTCCATTCCTTGTGGTTTAAGCCTCATTGTAAGGGACACCGATAGCAGTGAAGTGTTTCAGAAAATCCTTCACATCCATGAGGATTTAAAGTTGTGTGAGCAGAAGCACAAGGACTTAATGCAGAACCCAGCAGCTTGGAGCAGAAAAGTGAACGGACTATGCATTAATCCAGGCCATCATGTCTGCCCGGAGGGGAAAGGGTGTTGCCCCATTCACCGTCTCCTCTCTGGAAAGAAAGATGGCGGCCTCATGGGAACCTTGTGGACAGCAGGTATGAGCCAGGGGTGTGGGGGCGACTAAAACCTCATGGGAAGGGGGGCGTTCTGGTCCGTCCTTCACGCCCTACCGAGGTCACCAGTTGCCCCCCACAAGCATCTCTCCGGCACGGCCACGACTCCAGAGCACAGAAACCAATCTCTTAATTATCTGACTTTCAGTAGAAATACTTCCAGGGTTAATAAGTAAAATAGCGGAAATCTAAAACCAACATTTAATTCTTGAACCCAGCTGTAGAAAGCAAATTATTTCACAATGCTTTTTCAGCATGTCTCATTTGGGGGGGGGGGGGTAAACTCTAAATAATAGTGGTGCATCTTTTATTGAAACAATGAATCCAATCAAAGCAGATAGAGTGTTAACTAGAATTCATCTGCCTCGCAGGCATTGGGAGGGGTGGAGGGTGGGGCTTTATTGGGGTTCTTCGTGGTAAAAAATAAGTATTGGTAAAGGGAAATGTATTTGATATTTGCATGACTGAGACCTAAACCTGAAAGCTTTGTAACTTTTCCCACAGTGATTCAATAAATAAATAAATTATTTAAAAAAAAATAAAGTTGTGTGAGGACCTTATGAAAAGAAAATTTAAAAACTTAAAAAAAAATTTTAGAATTCGCGGCCACAGGACCTCTCATGATATTCCTAATAAGCAATAGAAAATAAATTATCTAGCATCTGCCTGCGGCAGGGGGCTTGAACAGTGGTGGGAAAATTCAAAATAATGGTGGTGGGAAGGTGTCATGGTGGCGGCATTGGTGTTGAAATATTGAATATGATCAATAAATGTGAAAAACCTTATGAAAATCAAATTTAACAATTAAAAAAGAAGTTGTGTGAGGGCAGCCCATTGAAGGGGATCCAGGAGGGACTTTGGGGATGGGGCACCGCCCAGTGATGGAGACTCATCATAAGTATGAGATTTGAACTTCATTTGGGAGTGAACTTTTCTTAGAGCCAGGGAAATGTTTCCTGGCACGGCGTAAGAAAATAAAAGGTGTGTCACATATGCTGCCTGAGCCCATGTGCTGTGTGTGCCCACACGGTCCAGTACATGTGGTGGCTGAGCACATGTGTTGCCCACATCTCCCCTCTTGAGATGTGTACTTTCATGCTTTCATGTCTAATGCTGGTATGTGTGTAGAGTCTCTCTCCGCCCTTGGAGAAGCCCTCGTTCTCTCTTGAGTACGTTACTCTCTCACTCTCTCCTCCTCCACACCTTCAAAACCCTCCAAATAAAGTCTATTTATTTCACTGCTTTTCTACTCCTGAAATTCCTTTCTGTGAGGCGAGACAAGAACCCAGTAGCCCTGGGTCCCGGGTGGCAGAGGCAGTTAGGGAGAAAGTAACCGTCTTTCTCCTCCCTGCTTCACATAAGTCACCTGTGGGGCCCACCAACATCATATCCACCAACTAATGACCTTTCAGCTTGTCTCTGAGGCCTCCCTCTGGTATAAAGCACCTCTTTCCTTTTCCCCTTGCTCTGTGTCTGCCCCTTCAAGTCAGCTCCTGGCATATAGAGAACCCGGTGACATCCACTCCACATAGGACCGGGTGGAGGAGGGTGGACCTTGTCCTGTCTTGGTGATGGTGCATGCAGGTTCGTGTCCTAAAAAAAGAAAAAAAGGGGAAAAAACGAAAAGAAAAGGTGTTGGGGGGGGGGAGCAGGGAGGTAGGGAACGCTCCCAAGAGAAGGCCCCTGGTCTAACAAGGATATCTTTATTTTTCAGAAATCCGAAATGGAAACCTCAAGGCCATTCTAGGCCTGTTCTTCAGCCTTTCCCGGTACAAGCAGCAGCAGCAGCAGCCGCCATCCCAGAAGCAGCTCCTCTCCTCTCCGCTGCCGCCCAGCGTGACCCAGGCGGCCGGGGCCCCCTCCCAGTGCCAGGCTGGCACTCCTCAGCCACAGGTGCCGGCCACTCCCCAAGCCCCGTGCCAGCCTCTCCAGGCAGCACCACCGCAGCCGGCCAAAGCACAAGCTGACATGCAATCCAGGTGGGGGCTCCTTGCCAGCTGATAATTCTGTTTTCCAGACAGCCGCCTCCTCCGTGTCGACTCTGTGCTCACCGGTTCTTGAACGTGTTTATCATCAAAGCTGCCTCCGTGCTGGAAACTACTGGTACTTAGTGAGGAATTAGCATGACCTTGAGCTGGATGCAGGAGGCCACCTCCGTGCCTGGCAGAGATGGGGACTCTTAATGGGTCAGAATGGCCAGCAGCCCGAGCTAATTAGCTGCTCCTGCCCTGACTCTGGCATGCTCCACGCATGCCCGTAGCCAGTAAAGAGCCCCGAAAATAAACCACAGACTTCTTCTGCTGTCCGCCTATAAGCCAGAGTTCAGGGTTTTCCAAGAGCATTATATTCCTTAGCAGCGGCAAAGGGTCGCTCGTGGCTGTCTATTCTTTGCCGTTGATGAAATGGAGAGCTCAGCAGAGGAGGGTCCTTGGCAGGGGATGTGGCAGCCCGTGCCTGGAGAAGGGCAGAATTGTGACTGTGTATTGTTGACCTTAAAGAATGGGCACAGGGTCAGCTGTGGTTCTCTGTGCTGCAGGATTAGGGCTTCGACTTTGGTGGTGTTTCCAGAGAGGCTGGTACTTGGAACTGGGAGCAGAGAATGTGGCACAAGCTGAATGCAAAGCAGTTTCTGTCTCCTTTGTTTCACTAGGAGTAGTCATACTCCCAGCCACTCTGCAGAAGATGGCCTTTTCAGTCATTACTTTCGTAGCAAAAGGAAGGGGAGCAGGAACTAGAAAATGTTTTGATTCATAGTTCTGGAGAAAGACCCGTAACAACTGTGCCGTGGCCTTTGTTAGCTATAAACCTTCATCCATCAAACCTAAACGTCACTGATGGTGACGAGGCCTTGATATTATGTAATCAGAGCTAAGAAGCAATGACTTTGTCTTTCCAGTCTCCCGAAGCCACTGGAACTCGTCACAGCCCTTTTCACACACCCTCGTACCCTTTATGGTCCATTGCAGTTAGGTGAAGCTCGAAGTGTATAGACAACGTGGCTGGTTTAAATGGCTACAGCTTCCGGCCCCTGCCTCTCTTGAGAAGTGCTGTTTCCCGGGGGTGAAGTGTGATGACCAGCCCTGTTGGATAGAGTGTAAATGAGATCCTCTCATTAATTATCTAATTATATCCAAGTCACAGGATGGGGACTTGGGCACTGGCCGAGATGCCTAGTCCAGCTGTGAGGGGGAGAGAGAGAGCATTGCAGCCAGGCTGGCCCCACTTTGTCCTGCAGAACCACTGGGTAGAATCTATTCTCTGATCAGATGAACATGGATGATTGGACCATCGGGAAATGAATCTTCATTTTGATGCCATGTGCTTATTTACTTCCTGCTGATAACTTGGGGAGAAAAAAATCGAGGAATCATCTGATATATGTTGTAATAATCATTAGGTCTCGTTGGATTCTTGAGGCTGCCGATATAGTTGAGTTTGTGTTGGGATGCAGCTCATGTGCCAGGCACCGTGACGGGACTTTTTAGAGGTCAAGGATGAGTGAGCAAACCAGGGTGCCTGCTGGCAAATAAGCAGGTAAGAGATAGAGATATACCCGATAGTAGTGTTATATAACAGGATGTTATCTGGAGGAGTTGGGCCAACCGTTTGGGTTGATGTTGATGGCTTGATATCATGTCATCAGTGCTAAGAAGCAATGACTTTGTCTTTCCAGTTCCCTGAAGCCACCCTAAATCATCAGAGCACTTTTCACACCCTCATATCCTTTATGGTCCATTGCAGATAGGCAGAGTTTCCTGGAGGACTGGAGGCCGTAGCGGGCATAGGAATAACAGGGAGCATCAGTTATGTGCACAGACAGTTTGGAGGAGAAGCAGGCACAGCCATGTGACTCTGTGGATGAGGGACAGATGGGAAAAATGGTTAAGCTAGCCTGTAAGTCAGCAAAGCCTGGCAAGCTACCTGTGGTGTATTTGATATGCCAAAAACAGTAACAATAACGGGTCTCATTCCCCTGACCCTGAAAGAGCCTCCAGTACGGCCGCGTTGGGAAAGATGAGTAAGGAGAGGCTGCTAAAATCTCAGGGCTGGTATGCATGGAGACATTACTGGCACCCATTCAAGTAAATTGATGAACAATGGATGACAGTGATAACAGTGATACAGCCTATAAGTGAAGTGCGCTATCCACCAGGGACACGAAAACCACTTTGCTTCTCTCTGGAGAGCAAGAAAGCACAAGGACAGAAGGAAGGACAGGGTGGAGGTTTTGAAGCCCTTCACTTGAACTGAGGTGGTAGAACAGGTATGAAGGAACAGGATGTTTCAGCGGCTGAGTCACAGAGTTAGACTCTCTGGAGCAAAGGAGAAAGACATGAGCCCCAGCCTCACTCTCTGGTTTGGTGGTATTTATTGTGACAAAACAGCTTGATGAACAACATGCATGTGTGCAAACTCTTTCCAAAGATGAGGAGACACCCTGCTCCCACCTGGCCCCAGAATTGTCTTATTTTATGGAGCATCCCACTACCCAAGGTTCCAAGGCACATGTCTTGAGAAATATTGAGCTGTGTCACTGAGCTGTGCCCGCCTGAGGCTCCCATTTCCATCGTAGGTGTTTGTTTACTTAAAAGAACCAGATGTTCTAGTCAGGATGCCCATCTCCCCAGAAGGAAAACATCTTATTACTAACAAACGCTTTATCCGAGAAAGGGCCAACTCACTTAGACCAGTTCTCATATTTATTTTTTCGTGTATCCTCCAGGTACCCTACCCCTGTAGTGTGGGGTTGAAGCCATGTCCTCATTGTTCTTATACCTGGCCCCAAATAGGTTGCTTCTGAAACAACTAGTTTCATTCATTATATGTGGAATCTGGGGGGTTGTAACTCATGCTCTCACTCCAGCTAAATAGTGAAAGTGCCCTCTACTGCCTCCTTTCCATTGTGTTTCTATCACAGAATTCTATCTTTGCTAACCACAGCCATAGGTTGAAGCACTGGTCCTCAAGGTTCACTGTTGAGGCAAGCCTGAAATAAATGCACAGTGGCCTTGCTCCAGAAAACTCTGTTAGGAATCACTGTGCCTCAGTACTCTACCTCTGGTGGTGGCCGACTCTAGAACTGGGCAACTTTTTTATAAAGTTCATGATAGAAATAACTTGTAGAAACTAGTAAAGGAAGCCTGAAACATTGGCATGAGGAACTGGCATCTCCGTGATGGCCTATTGGCAATTCATTCTGGCCCGTTCCCATTTCTCTACGTGCTACTCCCCGGCTCACTATGAAATGTCTCTCAGGGAGAGGAGTGGGGTCTCCAAGAATTGCTTCCTTCTCCATTTGTGTCTACTTACATCTTAGCTAGATTCAGCTGTTGAGGAAAACTTCAGAAAACTGATTTTTCTGTATTCTCCTTCATTTCTTCCTCACGTTCCTAAACCTACTGACACAAACTTTGTGCTTCTCATCTTATAGTGTCTTATAAACAGAATAGTTTTATGAATGTATACTAGTGGCTGAATATAAGAAAGATAAATATTGCTTTATTGCATAAAGCAGATATAAATGTAACCTTTTCTTTGATTACACCCAGCTGGGGTTCTTTAGAGGTATGAATTTGTGGTCAAAAACTAAGAATGTAGCAGGGATCAAATCTATACCTTTGTGAGAACAGACATTCCCAAGACCAACAAAAGTTGAGAATATCGCCATCCTTGTTTGGTATTACCTTGGTGGCATATTCAGCATATTCATCTGAGTAACCTTCCAGTACAGCTACCAAGAGAAGCATCTAGATATGTTATAAAGGTATAAACTTAGTTTTCTTATCAGAGACACCTGACTCCTATCTCACTGTGGAAAGAGTACCTTATAGTGATGGGTAGCAGAGAGGATTCTGATGGTGAAACAAAACAAAATACCTATAAAAATTCTTAGATAATCTTGATAACAATTTGTTCGCCTTTGGAAATTGATCAGATTTTTTTAAGTTTTTTTTTTCCAACCTGGAATAAAAAGTTCCATGTTGTAGAAAAAGTGAACAGGATGAAAATTCGGTGATTCCACTGTCAAGGGCCTTCTATGGCGTTGTGTCTAATGTAATATTTTCTCTCCTCACTCATCTCTTCCACTTTTTTCTTTCCTGTCATGCAGTGCATCACCCAAGGATTCATCTCAAAGCAAAATCATCCGCTTCACTCTGGGTCAGAAAAAGATCTCTAGGTTAGACTTTCTCTGTGTCCTGCAAACTGCATGGTGTCCACCCAACCTGTTGTTCCCTCTGCTCTGGCTAAGTTTCCTTTTGTCCCTCTCCTCATTTCATGCTGAGGTTTTGAAAATGGATGTGGGGTTGTTGAGGGGTGTGTGTGTGTGTGTGTGTGTGTGTGTGTTCGTGCACACGCGCAACCGCTTGGGAGTGCTTATGTGTGCTTCTCTGTGTGTTGTGTGTGTGTGTGTGTGTGTGTGAGAAAGAGAGAGAGAGAGAGAGAAAGTGAAATTAAGGTGTACATAATGATTCTGCATTTCACTGATTTGGGCTTTGATCACTGGGTCATCCAGATCCAGTCTGATTAGGGAGAGGTGAGTTTCTGGATGGTTTTTGTAGTGGTTTTACGGACGTTTGGCTCCCTGCCCTGGCCTGGCCCCGTCCCACCTCACCTGCATCTCATTTATGTGTGTTGTGCTTTTGGTTGTTAAAGTGACTAACATGTGATTGCTTTTTTCTTGAATTAATTAAGATCTGATTAAGAAGTCTAAATGCATCAAATTGGCCAGAGGGGACTGAGTGGCAAGGCCACTCCATATATTTTCTGTTGCTGGATTCTTTAATGTACCATGGGGTTATCACTTCTGAAAATTAAAAAAATAATTAGGCTTTCTCCCTAGTTCTCTTGACTCAGAGACCTCTCCAGCCTCCTGTGGATCCATTCCCGGGTAAGGCAAGTGCCAGTCACATGGTTGTGGCTTCTGCTGATCGGAAGGTGCCAAGAGCTGACATAATGAAATGTTGATGTGTGCCAGTTTGAATGATTTGTTTAATCCACATATTAGTTTTCTTACAGTATCATCCCTATTACACAGCTAAGCAAACCAAAGCTTAGTGGTTAGATACCCAGGGTCATCAAGTGAAAAATCTAGAATTTGAGCCAAAAGCATTCTTACCCTTAGAAGCCTCAGTCTAACCACTACATTATCCTCCTCCCCACCTTGAATTTTTCCATTTGCGCAGCTGCTGGGGTTCCTTTCTCCAAGCTGACTTTTCTGCCCTTGCTCAGCCTTCTGCCTCACGTGGTTCTCTCTCTCTCTCTCTCTCTCTCTCTCTCTCTCTCTCTCTCTCTCTCTCTCTCTCTCTCTCTCTCTCTCTTTGGGTCACACCCAGCGATGCTCAGGAATTTTTCCTGGCAGTGCTAGGGGGACCATATGGGATGCTGGGAATCGAACCCGGGTGGGCCACGTGCAAGGCAAACGCCCTACCTGATGTGTTATCGCCCCAGCCCCACCCTTGGCAGTGTCTTAAAGAGCCTGAGGTTGGCGCTGGAAGGTGGAGGTGTAGAATGATCTTGTAATTACCTGTATCTACTTTTACTTGAATTCTCACGTCAAGGGAAACCTCACACTTTATTTCTGTCTTTGTTTCTCAAATATATATTGAATATCCACTTGCCTCCCCACTCAGACTCTGGACATCTTTTCTGATGAGAATTGACTTTTCTGAAAAGTTGGGAACTTGGGCACACCCAACTCATGGTTGGATTGGGGGTGGGGGTTGAGGGAGAAGTCCCCAGACAGTCGCTTCTCAGGGAAGCACGGTGGCCTGTTAACTGAATTCAGGAATGAATGGTTTCTCTGTTCACCTCCTCTTGCATCTGCATGTCTTGTTCCTTCTGGGCAGCTTTCATACCACTGTCGATGAGGCCACTTAAGCAACAGGACTCTATTTCTCATGGTTCTGGAGGCCGGAGAGACCTCAGTTAGGTGCCAGCACAATCAGCTCAGAACACACTGCCTGGAGCTCAGATGGCTGTGTTCTTGCAGTGCTCTGACATGGCAGAGAGCAAAACCTGCTCACCCTGTGGGGACAGCTCCCCTTCACACTGGCTTCTCCTCTTGTCTGCACTGTCCCGCATTACCACACATTGGGGACCACACTCCCGTGAAGACCACAGCACTGCTCTGGTGGTCCATGACCACTCTCCCCAACACATGGCCCTAGAGCTCATGTCAGCACAGCTGACCCACTGCTAGTTTCTAGGAATGTCCCCATACAGGAGAGTTCGAGATCGGGGGTGAGCTTGGAGGAGTTCTGAAATCCCACAATGCCCCATTCTGGAAGTTCGGGAGAAACAGGAGCCATCTGGGAAAATGGCTAATTGGAAGCACATGACCATGGCATGAAAGATAACTTGTTATTGGCCCCAGATGAGGGGCAGGAGGTCATGGTAGGGAGGCGCAGGAAGAGAGGAGGACGCGGGCAGGCCAGCCAGCTCCTCCCTCGCTGGGCTTGGGGCTTCCAAGCTGAACCAGAGCCAAGCCTGGCTTCCTTGCAGGGTCTTAGTCTTCACCCCAAGTTTCTGTTGAATGCATTTTAGCTGTGAGGAGGCTAGTCAAGGGGTGTTCTTTTATTTCTCCTTTTTGTTGTTGTTGTTGTTCTGTGGCCACACTCAGCAATGCTCAGGGGTTACTACTGGCTCTGCACTCAGAATTATGCCTGGTGGTGTTCGGGGGACCATATGGGATGCTGCCATCAAACCTGGCTCGGCCACTTGCAAGACACTGCACCTTAGCTGTGCTGTACTATCTCTCCATCCCCAAGGTGTTCTATTATTTTTTTAATTTTTTTTTATTAGTAAATCACCATGAGGTACAGTTACAGACTTACAAACTTCCGTGCTTGTGTTTCTATCACGGGGCTGGAGCAATAGCCAGTGGGTAGGGCGTTTGCCTTGCACACAGCCAACATGGCCGACCCGAGTTCCATCCCTCCGCCCCTCTCGGAGAGCCTGGCAAGCTACCAAGAGTATCTCGCCCACACGGCAAAGCCTGGCAAGCTACCCGTGACGTATTCGATATGCCAAACACAGTAACAAGTTCACAGTGTTACTGGTCCCGCTTGAGCAAATCAGTGAACAATGGGAGGATAGTGATAGTTTCAGTCATACAATGTCTGAGTACCCATCCCTCCACCAGTGCCCATTCTCCACCATCGATTATCCCACTATCCCTCCCACCCCACCCCCATCCCATCCAAGGTGTTCTATTATTATCTGCCCAGTGAGTCCACCTTCCTTTGCCTTATTCACACTTCCCTTTCCAAAACTTGAGCTCAGTCCTAATAGGCATCTTGACTGATTGGGCAACATTGAGTGTATCAGTTAAGTTAGACGGAAATAAATACTCCTGTTCTTCTGATTGAGTCAGCTCCTTCTCCCAGGACTCCGGAAATGGGTCTCTAGTTCCAGTGCAAACAACTGAGCACCAGCCAGAACCTAAGAGCCTGTAGATATTGAGAAGGGTGAGGGCCAGACCTTTGAATCTGTTTGTGGGGCAGATTAGTGGGGGAGTAGGTAACTGGTGAGAGCCATAAAGGGTTTCCAGGGATTTCCACCCTTGGCTGTTGTTAGTGCCGTCACATCCCTGTATGAGCCTGGGATGGGAAAGGTTGTTCTGCCTGTGGATGGCAGAGCATCAGGGTAACCCAGAGCGCAGCTCTGTTGTCAAACCTAATTAAAGCCCACCTTTACCTGTGTTACCTGGCCAAGTTAGAGACTCTTAATGAGCCAGTATTTCCATAAGCGTCAAATGGAATCACCCTGCCCTACTTACTGAATGTACAATAATTGAAGCCACTTCTAGTCCTTTTATACCTGGCACCCAGTCAGCTTGCCAAACTTAGTAGACACAAGGGGTTGATGTGGGGGCATTGATCTGGAGCAGAGAAAACACCCCAGGGTTGCTATGCATGTGGCCATCTCATAGAGAGGAATCTGGGGGGTGGGGGACAGGGCTGGCTTGTTGATCACTCTCAACAAGCCTGGATGCTGAAAAGCAGATGCCATGGAGATGCGAGATGTAGCATTTAATCATCCCCTCTGGGAAAGGAACTCTGGGGATGAACCCCACCCGCCCCTCCCAGGACCCGGAGCATGTGCACGCAAGCTGCTGTCCTTTCTGGGGGTCTGCCGGGGGAGCATCTTCTGCTCCCAGCCTTTGAAGTGGTTTTGGGGGGGTGAGGAATGGCTTTTTTCCATCAGCACGTACAGCGTGTGGAGCCAGGATGCTCCCGCAGGTTACGTGCCAGGAGCGCCAGCTTTCCCGCCCTGCCTGCTCAGCTCTGCACATGTTAGAGGGATGGAGCAGAAAAAAGCAGGATTTCTTCCACCTCTTTCTTCCACCCCTTCCCTTACACTCCATCAGGGAAAAAAATGAAAACAAATCCAGCTTTCGTATATGTTTCAAAGAACCCTTCTGGGCCCTCTGTCATTTTGTGGCCTTGTTTGACCATGAACTGACCAGAGAACATGGGAGTTCTTCTTGCCAAAGAGCCGTTGCCCCCGGCTAGTGCAACATGTGAGGGCGGGGTGCAGATGATGTGGGGTGGTCTGCTTCTGCCACGCTCTTCTGCCACTTTTCTCTTCCTTTGAGGCGGGTGCGACAGGCAGCATCCAGGGTGGTACTTGCCACTATTTCACATGAGCCCCATCAGCTCTTCAGCCCTGGAGGGGTTCTGAACAGGAGAAGCAACTGCTTGCAGGCTGAGGTTTGATAGAAGAGCCCATGATGCACTAGGATGTGAGTAATAATCCAGCTTCAAGATGTTAGCCAGAGGCCTGGGATCTGTGTCAATGTCAGCGAGGGGATTGCCCTGCTTTTCCGAAGCTAACTCTGCCCTCTGCCTCTCACTCAGTGTCTCATCGCTCCAAGGCAGGAGAGTGTTCAACATTCAGAGAAGGATACCGAGCTCCTCCTGTGCTGGTCCTGCCTGCTTCTCCCACCTCGCTCCCTCCCAGCCAGTCCCTGCAGGCCCAGCATACTTCCTGTCCTCTTTGTCACAGGTTCTTCTCTGCCCAAGCCCTCTGCTCCCTGCCCTCTGAGTCTCTGTGACATATACTCCTGGAGCCTGACCTAGCCATCTCAGATCCTGGCTGATTGGTTTTCTTTTTTGCATGATTTCTGATCCCTGTCTTTTCTTTGGCCAAGATAGGCAAGATTTAAATGTCAGCTGGTTGAGAGACAGAGACAGAGAGACCGAGTCAGAGAGAAAAAGAGAAAGCAGGTAAGGTGTTTCACTTGGCTTGCACATGCCTGACCCAGGTTTGCTCTCCAACACTCCATAGTGTCCCGTGAGCCCATCCAGGAGTGACCCTTGAGTGCAAAGGCCAGGAGTAAACCTTAAGCACCACTAGGTGTGACTCAAGCCCCCCGCCTAATTTTTGTTAGGTCATATGATGATCTTAATGACTTTAGAATCCTCATTCCATTTGGGTGTTCATAGCAGAATACCCTCAGTTGCATAGTTTGGTAAAGAGCAAAGTCCCCACATGCAGTTCCAGAGGCTGAAAGGCAGAGATATGAGTAACCAGCGTGGCTGGACTCTGGTGAGGGTCTTCTTCCAGTGTTCATGCTGCCCACTTCTCTCAGGGGCCAGCCCGATCTCTGGACCCTTCTTTCAGAAGGGCTTTAATCCTATTCCTGAGGGTTTTGTCTGTCCTTAGGACCTAGTCAGTTCCCAAAGGCCTAATCTCTCCAGTTCCATCCCACTTGGCACGAGGGTTTGGATAGGGATCTGGACACACATTCAGACCATAGCAAACTTCTCCCATTTCTTCGTATAGAAATTCATAGAAAGTCCAGTGTTTGCCTCATTTGGCTTTGAAATCCTGTACATAAAATTCATTGTGTTGGATTGACTTCCATCCAAAAGGATGTTTTCATTTTCTCAGAGGTGGACCCCAGCCTCTGTGGTCCAGAAATTCTGTGACCCAGTTTTGATCTGAGGTCCAGGGTCTAGGGCCTCTGGGTGTCTCTACCCTCACTGTTATCTTGCTTCCCTGCTCTCTGCAAATTCCCCTCTGAGGTGAAGGCTGGGACTCAGGATGCCCTGTATTCTCAATAGCATTGCCATGACATCATCTTGGAACAAATTTAGAATCCTTTTCCAGGCCTAACTGTAAGTAAGATTCCAGCAGACTCTATGTAGGTTCGAGAAGCCCAAGGAGTACCACATCTGCACCTATAGAAGCTCTGCCATGGGTCTCTGAGTGCTCAGTAGCATCCTCCCTCCTGGAGAGCTGGGAGGATGCTCGGTGCATTGGGAACAGAAGCAGGACTAACCACATTCCAGTTGCTGTACTTTCATGGCAGGTGGTGTTTACCACCTCCATTCCCACACACAGACATTGGCACTGCTGGTCTTCATGGGATGAAAATATTCCTGAAACAGTTTTGGGTGTAGTAACAGAGGGTATAGTATCCCTACCCAGTGCCATGGGAAGTAGTGCCTTCTCACTGCCCACTTACTCGGGTCAACACTCCCTCCCTTTCCCCCTCCAAGCTCCAGTCAGGGAATCAGGCCAGCTTCTTCTTAACTGTATAAATTTTACAGTCCACTCACACCAGCTCATGTTCTCTATTTACCCTGCAATAATCTTTCTTGCTTGGCCAACAAGAAAATGTTTAAAGTGATTGCCTGCTTATATCTAAAATGCTTCCAGACTATTGGCTTTTTCAGTGCTTTCAGATTTGCATGGAATGAGAAGCTGAAGGCTTAATGGGTTGAAAATTAAAAACTTATCACTAGGTCTAATCACTAAGTGAGGTACTGGTGGCTTTTTAACACAGCTAAGTTGGTTTTAGTTGAAACGTATAAATATTTCACCATGTGTTCATCTTTCAACTTGAATTATTGGAAACAGCCTGCTTACTAGTCCTTGAACCAAAATTCTGATTTGGGGAGTCTTACCCAAAACTCTTTGAGGAATGACCTGTAATATCTCTAGACATATTACAAAGAAATCTGCTGACTTATTTCCCAACCCACCCAAAATTAGGTGTTTTATTTAAAGAGAAAGTGGTGTGTATTTGTCTTTAGACTAACAGGTTCCTGCTGGTTTTACAAAGAGAACATATGATTTTATCCATCTACCGTGCAGAGAAACTGGGCTTCAGCCTCAAAGTAATACAACAGAGACAGGTTGTCAGATGTGGAAGAAAAACATATGTCTGAGCAAGTGTTTTCATCCAAGCCATAAGTTTTCATTGCAGATGTGTCAGGTTAGGAATAGAGGCAGCTCCCTTTATGAACATTGTCAGTGATGTATTTTTCTTCATATTTACACCCCTGGATTATGGAAAGTACCATTTCAATACATACCAAAAGAGATGCTCACACAAGTAAACAATTTTGACTTTTCACCAGAGTGTCTGGTCTGTGCTTCACAAAATTAGGGATGATGACATTATTTGGCCCTATCGAAAAGTAAAAATACTCATTCAGGAGCCAAAGGAAGGTGAGCTGGGTATTTTGAATCAGCAAACTTACTCACATACTGTTTTCAAGATGCTTCTTTTTGCTCAGAGGAAAATGGTTTTCATTTTGCCCTTGGACTTGATAAGCCTAAGTGTTTGTAGTGGTTCTGTGAAAATCTTTAGCACGCTTTCTCAGACCCGCTGTCTTGAATGGTGTTCTTGGACCTCCTGCATGATTGCAGTTCCTTCTGCTGAGACACTGCTGTCCTCCGAAGACTCACTCCATGATTCTGTTGCTTTTGCATTATAGACTTCCAGGTCCCACTGCAAGGGCATCTGCTGCAGGCAGCGAGGCCAAGACACGTGGAGGGTCAGTTGCTGCTAACAACCGCCGCAGCCAGAGCTTTAACAACTATGACAAGTCCAAACCAGTCACCTCCCCGCCCCCACCAGCCAGCAGTCATGAAAAAGGTGAGTCACCTTTTTTTTTGTTTGTTTTGCATTTGGGGCTCATATTGGCAGTGTTCAGGGGTCACTTCTGACAGTGCTCAAGGGATCAGATGGTGCCAGGAATCAAACTCAGGGCTCCTGAAGGCTGGGCATATACTCCAGCCCTTTGAGCCATCTAGGCTCTGGAGATTCACCTCTTTGAGGGTTCCCGTCATTTTTCTTTGTAGGAGAAGATCTGGTTGCTTTAAGTGAGTTTGATTGAGGTCAAGGGTAGGGGAATTGGAAATTGTGTGGTATATGTATCCCAAGGGCATAGTTGGCTGGTGAGAGCTTGGTTAGACAGAACATTAAGAAATTGGGAGAGAATTTTGTCATCAGCCATGATCCAGAGTCGCGTTGTTCTCTCCCGGAAGGGAGCATAACAGGACACACACCATAACCATGCCGCCAGACCCCACGCCAGGCTGTTTCATTTGGGGTGCCCCAGAGTGGGGCGGGTGAGAGCCCGTCCATCCCAAGGGACCCGGCCCTAGCTGCCGAAAACTTCCAGAGCTCAGTCACCACCATGCTCACAGCCGCTCTCCACATGCTTGGGCCAAGCCTCACCCATGAGTAAACATATTTCTGGATTGCAAACTCATATCTCACACCACCCATACTCCAAGAGTACCACACCACACCACATTTGATGGGGCTTAAAGTAGGAGGCAACCAATCTTAGAGGTAAATATATATTTTTTACAGCTATATATAGATATAGATATATAAGCACACAGGGCTCAACCTTTAACAACATGTTAGTGATCTCTTACAGAAGGGCTGAATGGCCCCTGGGTGAAATACAACTATCTTCACACTCTTTGCACTAGGGATACTTTTTTGTAGATTTTCAGTGGTTTTTCATAACAAACAACACAAAATAAATTATTTCAGTTCTGCTTTTGGGCAGGGATTGGGGCTCAGAATGGAAACATCCAAAATATGGTGGTGGGAAGGTGTAATGGTGGTGGAATGGTGGTGGGATTGGTATTCAAATATTAAGTGTAATCAAGTATTGTGAACACTTTATAAAATAAAAAAATTAATGGGAAAAAAGAAATTGGAGAAATACTGTTATAGTCCTATTTGCCAGCAATAATAGCTCAGTTTATTATGGTGGGGACCTAGAATACATTTGGTTAAGTAGCACATTTGCAATTTGAAAATTTTCATAGAACATGCTGTCTACAAAAGGCAGTTTTCTAGAAGCACAGCTTGTTGGGGCTTGTGTTTTGTGAGCTGATAAGCTTTTTAACCTACCAGAAGACATCAGAGGGGAGTTCAGATCCAGGGGATTTTCAAAACCTTCTGAGTAAGTCAGAAATGCAGATTAACTATACTTAAGAAATAGTCTATACCATTCTTGGTATTCTAATGATGTAACCAAAAAAGGATCTGGTGTCTCGTTGTTGTCGTTTTGTTGTCTTAACTATATACATACATGCAAATATAAAAGGTAAAGGTAAAGGCCCTCCCGTTGATCGTCGATTTGCTCGAGCGGGCCCAGTAACGTCTCCATTGGAGACTTTGTTGTTACTGTGTCTGGCATATCGAATACTCTCGGTAGCTTGCCGGGTTCTCCGAGAGGGGCGGAGGAATCGAACTCGGGTCAGCCATGTTGGCCGCGTGTAAGGCGAACGCCCTACCCGCTGTGCTATCGCTCCAGCCCTGGTAGGGCGTTCGCCTTACAAGCGCCAACATGGCCGACATGCAAATATATATATATATATATATATATATATATAGAGAGAGAGAGAGAGAGAGAGAGAGAGAGAGAGAGAGGTGGGGGGAGAGAGAGAGACAGCTCTCAGGTTTTAGGAAGAGAAAAGAAGGGTAACTGGCTCTGCAGAGGCTTTTGCTCTGATGGTGAAAATACCCCTCTTGTCTGCCTCTGTGTCTGTTAATACATGGCAATAATAGGGAGATTGAGGCCACCTGGACAGTTCTTCAGGATGGGAAGCTCTCCTTTATTTCCTCCCAGGCAATATTGCTATATTTCTTGGGACACATACCTCGTGTCTTGGAAGCTTTGCCTACCTGGTAGGACAGGAAAATCCTTAGCCTATCCTGGGTTCTTCCTGCTTCTTCCTGACCAGGCAGATTGCACTGCCGGAGCTGAGCTCTCACAGGGAATGAGGTCAAAACCCTCTCCTCCTCCAACCAAGCACTCTAAGCGCTTGGTTGGAGTCCTTATACCTGGAATACCCACAGATGGCAAGGAAACATGTCAGGAGCAGACCAGTTCCTGGAGCAGGTGTCTCAGCCAGGTACTGAGAACAGAGCTAACATGGGAACTGCCTGCTAGAACCAGGCAGCCATCATCAGTCAGAGCTTTCTGATTCTTCCCTTGGCTTCTGCTTCAGCAAAATACTTTTCTTCTCTGCTTTTTGGTTTTTAGGTCATACTTGGTGGTATTCAGGGCTTATTCCTGGCTCGGCACTTAGGGACCAATCCTATTGGGGCTCAGAGTACCACATGGGGTGCAGGGGATCAAATCGGGTCATGAGCAAAGCAGGTGACCTACCTGTTGTACTTTTGCTCCAGCCCCACAAAACATTTTTCTTTTCTGTCCTTTCCCCCACATGTCCCTCTCCCTTATTCACCACACCCAAGTGTGCTCTTTTTATTTGTTTTGGTTTTGTTTTTTGGCTTTTTGGGTCACACCTGGTGATGCACAGGAGTTACTCCTGGCTCTACACTCAGGAATTACTCCTGGCGTTAGCTCAGGGGACCATATGGGATGCTGGGAATTGAACCCAGGTCGGCTGCATGCAAGACAAATGCCCTACCCACTGTGCTATCACTCCAGCCCCAAGTATGCTCTTTTTCAAGTGTGCTTAAATTAACAAAAATAATATCTGCCTATAAAATGGTATTAAGGATTGTCAACTAAAAGTTCTCTTTCACTTGTTCCCTGAGGGATGATACCAATGCAAACCATCCCGTGTGTATATTTTTCTTGTTTTTCCCAAATAAGAGTATCTAAGGGTGCCTCATGGAATTCCCCAAAATAAGCTGTGCTGTTTCCCTCACTTTTCAATGGATGAAACTAAAGCCAAGAGAGGTTAAGTTCTTGCTGAGGTCATACCAGTTGGAACAAAAATCCATTACTTTGTTTGTGCTTTTCCTGAAAAACGTCTGGAAGTGCTGGAAATCTTGTCTGTTGAGGGCTAGTTAAAGATGTACAGGTTGAGACAGGGGAGTAATGGGGTAATGGCAGGGGAGCCTAAGCTGGTCCACACTTGTCCCCTGTTCCCTTGGGAGAAACTGTCATGAAAAAAAAGTACCAAAAACATAAAGAGCTCTAAAGGATGCATCTGAGATCAATTTCCCTAACATTGAGGAATTACAGACTAAGAGTTCCTTATTGGTGGAACAAAGGTGGGAGAATTCATGGTCAGGCACCTCCCAAAGCTTTTTACAGATGCGAGGTCCCTCAAATTACTGCCGAGATGCAGTTCACCAATGGCAGAGCATCTGATCTGTCCCGAGCAGATGTTGCCTTGGGTACACAGAGCAGAGTGCCTTGAGATCTGTGTCAGGGCTGTGGCTATGGATTCTAATAGAGGCATCACAGAGGGAGGGACTTTGGTGTCAAAAGAGAAGGGAGCTTCTCTCTTATGGAACTTGGGTTATTTGGAAGGGATTTTGTTTTTGTTGGTTGGTTGGTTGGTTGGTCGGTCGGTCGGTTAGTTTTGGTTTTGGGGCCACACCTGGCAATGTTTAGGGCTTACTCATGTCTGTGCACTCCGGGATCACTCCTGGCAGTCTCAAGGAACCGTAGGTGGGCCCTGGAGATTGAATCTGGGTCAGCTGATGCAAGCCAAGTGCCCTACCCACTGTATTTTCTCTCCAGTCTCTTTGTAAGAGACCTTGATTGTGCTATCTTAGTGGATAAACATTCTATGAGGTATAAATACTATTGACTCAATTTTATTTATTTGCTTATTGGTTAGAGACAACATCTGGCAGTGCTCAGGGGCTGTTCAAAGATGGAGGCCAGGAGTCATTCCCAGTGGGACTCAGGGGCTTGAACCTGGACCTGCTGCATGCGGAGCATGTGCTCCAGCACATGGTGCCATCTCTTCCGCCCCATCAGCCCAGTTTTATGTAGGACCTATCTGGATAACTGACTGCTGGAATGCATAGCCAGGTGTGACTCCCAGAGAGACGTGCAGTCTAACTCTGCTCTATCCCTGGCTGTCTCTAATTAGGCTCCGGATAGGTAATCTGCACGAGAATGTTTTTGTTAGCTTCACGGCTTACAGAATCCTACAGTGATGATAGAAAATGAGGGACATCTGCACTCATCTGTTCATTGCAGCACTGTTTACAATAGCCAGAATCTGGAAAAAAAACCCGAGTGCCCAAGAACAGATGACTGGCTAAAGAAACTTTGGTACATCTACACAATGGAATACTGTGCAGCTGTTAGAAAAGATGAAGTCATGAAATTTGCATATAAGTGGATTAACAGGGAGAGTATCACGCTAAGTGAAATGAGTCAGAAAGAGAGGGACAGACATAGGAAGACCGCATTCATTTGTGGATTATAAAGTAACAAAAGGAGAGACTAACATCCACGGATAGTAGAGATAAGGACCAGGAGGATTGCTCCATGGCTTGGAAGCCAGTCTCACATGCTGGGGGAAAAGGCAGCTCAGATATATAGAAGGGACCATAAAGTAAAGGATGTTTGGAGGACCCGCTCAGAATAAGAGGTATGTGCTAAAAGTAGACTATAGACCGAACATGATGGCCACTTAATACCTGCATTGCAGACCACAACACCCTAAAGGAGAGAGAGAATAAGAGGGAATGCCCTGATGCCCTGCCATGGGCGGGGGGAGAATGGGGGGAAGGCTTATGGGATGGGGGTAGTGGGAGGGATACTAGGAACATTGGTGGTGGAGAATGGGCACTGGTGGAGGGTATGGGCATTCGATCATTGTATGACTGAAATGTAAGCACAAAAGTTTGTA